CCTTTAGGACGCTCTTCAGCCAGACTGGGGCGGGGAGGAGTTGGGGGGCCCTCGGGGATAACGGGAAGAGAGGTCTGTTCTCCCAAGCAAGGAAACCGGAAAGGAGCCCCCCCCTCCCCCCCCCGCCCGCGGCCTCCTCCTGGACCAGACCGAGAGAAGGGAAGGAGCTCGGGAGGAGAGAAGGGGCTCGGCCGGGTTGGAGGAGATCCTTTCCCTGCGCTCCCCGCCCCCGCCCCACTCTGAGGTTTCGCTCTCTCCGGTCCCCACGCCTGGCAGCTGCCGCCGCTCGGGGCTCGGGAGGAGAGAAGGGGCTCGGCCGGGTTGGAGGAGATCCTTTCCCTGCGCTCCCCGCCCCCGCCCCACTCTGAGTTTTCGCTCTCTCTGGTCCCCACGCCTGGCAGCTGCCGCGCAGCTCGGGGCAGGAAGCCCAGAAGGACTCGGGTTTGTCGTGGTCCTGGTCTGGAGCTGTCGGCCACTTTGCGATCGCGGCGCTTCGAGCCGGGCCTCGGAACGCTGCCCACCGCCTCCAGCCCCTCAGACCCAGCTGGGTCGGTTCCAACAGGCAGGGGTGCAGGAGGCCAGGGTGCTGTTTGCGTTTTCCCGACGCAGCCAGAGATGCGCTGGCTCAGGAGGCGCAGCTGTGCCCTGGACTGCCGCGCACAGGGGCCAGCGCCAAGGGTCCCCTCGGCAGAACTCCAGGGCCAGGAGTCAGCCTGGGACGCTTCCGCGGCGCCTTCTCCACCTGCGGGCGGCGGAGGAAGGCGAGTGCGGGTGGGAGGAGCGGGTTTCCAAAAGCCCCTTTCGGATCTCCATAAGGTCCGCGGGAGTCCCCTCCTCTGGAAAGGAAAGAGAGGCGAGTCTCCTCCCGCGGCGGAAGGGCCCAGCCTGGAACCTGCGGCGCCGGGGATCCAGGGTCCCGGCAGCCGCGGAAACTGAAGGCTGGGAGCGCGCAGGGCTTTCGAGCGCCTCTCGGGAGCACACGTACACCTTCCTGCACACTCACAGGCGTGCACAGACACAGGTTCCCACGTGCCCAGATCGCCTCAGACCGCAGGCACTTTCCGGGCTTGGGCACGGGCGGGGCGCGCAGGGCGGGGCGGGGCAGTGAAGAAATTGATAGCAGATTCCGAGGATTACGGCGTATCTCTTTGTTAGAGCCGAAACCACACAAACCGAACCTTGTCCCGGCCCGACTCACCAGGGGGGAGGCCGCCTTTCCCCAGACCCGGCCCGACTGGGAGTCAGTCAGTCGTCCGGTCCCGAAACGCGGCTCCCAGCCCCGGAGCGTGGGAGGCGGGGGTCCCCGTGGGCATCCTTGGGCCCCAGAGCGGTGTCTCCACTTAACCTCCGCGCCGGCCCGGAAACACCTTGGCCTTCTTCCCGCACCAATCCCGTCGCAACCCAGAAAAGGCCCCACAAGTTTGAGACTCGAAAATCCCAGGGCGAAGGGTGTAACATCTCCAGATGTTTACCGAGAGCTCTGAGCCTTAGAGACGGTACGAATGAGACCTCTGGGGAGACTGTCCCGCTAGGGGTAAAACAAAAGTGCCGGTCAGAAGCCGGGTTTCCCGAGAATGAACAGAATATTTGCCAACAGAAGCCCGGGAATCTGTCACTCGCGTGTTCCGAAGAGGAGGGCAGGGGCATCTAAGAGGCTCCGTGCAGGGTAGGGTGAGGAGACGGGCGGGAGGGCGTCAGGTCTCCAGTCCAGACCAGCTCTGAGCTGCACCTCTTAAGTCCCCCCAAACCTTCGCGCGGGATTAAAGACGTCACCTGCAGTTTGGGGGGGTGTTAGGGAGAGGGGAATCTGTTCAGGAAAGCTCAGCAGAGGAAGTTGGGGCGCAGGGAGCTTTAGGGGATGGCTGTATACCCGCGCGGTACCCGCGTGCACGGGCGGTCCGTTCAGAGAAACAGTGAGAAGCCGGTCAAGATCCTGCGCCTTTGGTCACGGGCCCTGCCTCTCTCGGTCTGGGAGTCCCTTTCCTTCTGGACTCTACACCTGGAGCCCGAGACTGGAGGCGGACGTGAGGAGAGACGCCAACTGGGCGGAAGAAGTGTTTGACCAGGGACAAAAAAGGAAGAAGGGAAACTCCAAGAGGAATCTCCGCTCTTGTAAAATGAACTGTTTCCATCAGTCTGATCTCTTCCTAAGGCAGGGAAAGAGATGGAGAAACCTGCGGGGAGGTGCGGGGGGGGGGGCACTGCAGCCAAAAACTTGGGGTACCCGGGTCGGCAGAGAGAAGCGAAAGGGGTAGAGAACGGGCCAGCCAAGGCCGGTTGGAGGTCCACTCTGGGGGGAGCAGACAAAGGATCCATGGCTCCCCGTGGCTCGCGCCTGTGTGCGTGGAGGCTACAGCTGCCCCAGGCCGCGCGTTGGGTCACAGCGCTGTGTGTACGTGTGTATGCACACCAGCCCAGCAAGGTCAGGAGGGAAGAGAACAGCGCAGGAGAAGGCAGAAATTTCTCCGGGAGCCCCAATCTGCGCAGGGTACACGACCAGCTTCATGCCTGGGC